GTCTGCCGGGCGCGCGTGGGCGGCGGGAGCGGGGCTCGACATTCCCTCTGCCCCCAGGTGTGTGACTCAGACACGGTGCTGGACCCCGCCTGCACCGCCGAGATGCTCCGCATCCTGGAGGCCGACCCCCGTGTTGGTGGCGTTGGCGGTGATGTCCAGGTACCCCGGGTGTGAGGGAGGGCACCCCGGGGCGACAAGGGTGCTGTGGGGGGAGTTGCTGTGGTGCTGGGGCTCACATCCGTCCATCCCCTCCCCAGATCCTGAACAAGTACGACTCATGGATCTCCTTCCTGAGCAGCGTGCGGTACTGGATGGCCTTCAACGTGGAACGCGCCTGCCAGTCCTACTTCGGCTGTGTGCAGTGCATCAGCGGGCCCCTGGGCATGTACCGCAATGCCCTGCTGCAGCAGTTCCTTGAGGACTGGTACCACCAGACCTTCCTGGGCAGCAAGTGCAGCTTTGGGGATGACCGGCACCTCACCAACCGTGTACTCAGCCTGGGCTACCAGACCAAGTACACGGCTCGCTCCAAGTGCCTGACAGAGACGCCCACCCGCTACCTGCGCTGGCTCAACCAGCAGACCCGCTGGAGCAAGTCCTACTTCCGCGAGTGGCTCTACAACGCTCTATGGTTCCACAAGCACCACCTCTGGATGACCTACGAGTCGGTGGTGACCGGCTTCTTCCCCTTCTTCCTCATTGCCACTGTCATCCAGCTCTTCTACCGCGGCCGCATCTGGAACATCCTCCTCTTCCAAAGCTAGTGGGCATCATTAAGGCCACCTACGCCTGCTTCCTGCGGGGCAACGCCGAGATGATCTTCATGTCCCTCTACGCGCTTCTCTACATGTCCAGCCTGCTGCCTGCCAAGATGTTCGCCATCGCCACCATCAACAAGTCAGGCTGGGGCACGTCAGGGCGCCGAACCATCGTGGTTAACTTTGTGGGGCTGCTGCCGGTGTCGGTGTGGGTGGCGGTGCTGCTGGGCGGGCTGGCCTACACCGCCTACAGCCAGGACCTCTTCAGCGAGACCGAGGTGCCCTTCCTCACCTCAGGTGCCATTCTCTACGCCTGCTACTGGGTGGCCCTGCTCACCCTCTACCTGGCCATCGTCGCCCGGCGTTGCGGCAAGCGGCAGGAGCAGTGTGGGCTGGCCTTTGCCGAGGTCTGACCGCAGGGAGCGCCGGGGTGGCGCCGTGTGCTGGGAACAGGGTGACCACTACTGGTCCTCTCCTCGCCTGCCACCAGCCCCGGTGCAGCCGGCACTGAGCCGTTGGGTGCTGGGCAGCGCTGAGCGCGCCCACCGCAGCGTTTCTGATCAAGTCTTTCTTTTTTGTTGTTGTCGTCTTTGGGTTTTTTTTTTCTTATTATTGTCATTTTTCTGTACAAAGCGGGCTGCTGGCTGGGGGGAGGCTGAGCCGGGGCTGCCTGTCACCAGGCTGGGGACAGCCTTGGTGCTGTGAGGGTGACAGCAGTGTTGTCCCCCCCCTCTCCGTGCCATACTGAGCATCCTGGTGAGCAGCGCGGAGCGCTGCTGGCCGGGCTCCCCCCACCCCATCGCCGCGGCTGGATCCTCCACCCCTCGGTGCTTTCTACAGGGACTTCATGGTCCCCCTCCACGGTGCTATGGCAAAACGGCCCCACAATGGCACTGTCTCCGTCTGGCGCTGTGCTGGCACCGCTGGCTGGTGCTGCCTGCCTCAGCCCCACAGCCGTCGTATGTGCGGGCACGTACCCACGGGGAGCCCCCCACAGCTCCCTCCAGCCCCCTTTCAGGGGGGTCTGGCTGCCCCGGGAGGGCAGCACCTCCCTTCAGCTTTGCCAAAGAGCCAAAGGGGGGACCCCGGCATGCAGAAACAGGGGAAACCAGGGCCGAGCCACGGTCCCATTGTACCCACCCCGCTGCCTTCCCAGCATCTGTCTAGACAGCGGGGAGACGCTGGGTTTTGGGCTCGGGCATGCAGAGGAGGGCGGGGAAGAGCTGGTTCCCAACCTTTCCCCTCCCCGGGGAATTCACCCGGTTGTCTCCCCTGGGCCCTCTTTTTGTTTCAGGGCTTAAATAACCTTTCTACAACTGAGCATTTAGATTGTTTTGTTTAATTTAATACAAGGGTTTTTAGAAGACTTTTGTAGCTCTTTGGTACTCATACTTATTGCTAATTGTTTGTAAAACTATTTATTTTTTAACCTGCGGGTTTTTTTCATATTTTGGAAAAGTCTGTTTTTATATCCTGATGTATTTGTCAAAATAAAGACTTGTACAGAGAGAGAGCAGTGTGTGGAGAAGGGGTTGGTGGCCCTTGTCCCCCTGTCCTGACACGATGGGGGGAAGCCCATGCCCAGGCTCAGAGGAGGTTCCTGCCCACCAGGACCCATCTCGCCTGGGATGGCAGCTGGGTTTGTGCCCCAGAGCTCAGCGGCTCTCAGAAATGGAGTCATTACAGGGGAAAAAAAGCAACCCAGAAAGGGCTCTGGATGCCCATATATGGGACCCAGCACCCAAAGCTAGCCTGGGAGCCCTCCGGCTGGGGTAGGGACAAGGCCAGGACTGACCCTAGATCTCCCTGAGCCCTGGCCGCAGTGCCCATGGCAGTCCTGGCAGCAGAGTGGAGCTCATGGCCACCAGCCTGAGTCCTCACACTTTCTTGGGCACATTGGTGATGATGGGCTTGGGGCGTGTTTTGAAGAGGAGCTTGGTTTTGATGAGGGCGGTGACAGTGTAGTGGGTGTGTGGCCCTGCAGGGCCAGGCTCGCCAGCTCCCCGCTTCACCAGGACGGCAAAGGGCTTCTCCAGCTGCACCACCTTCCCGTAGAGGATGTGGTGGCCCACAATGAGCACAGGGACCCCCTGGAGAGAGAAGAGAGAGGCGGAGGGTGAGGGCGGGCAGGGCCCCGGCTGCCGGGGCCATCCCTGGTAACACAATGGTGGGGTGCCTCACCTCGCAGGTGTAGTGCAGGTCTCCCAGGAGGCTCCCCGCCAGCCCACTGCTCTGCCGGGGCTCGACCTCGCCCTGCAGCTCCACCAGCACCCACTGCGCCAGGCCTCCAGCACCCTCGCTGTGGGTGAGAGAGGCAGCTTCACCCAGTGGCTCAAAACCTGCCGGGGGCCATGGGCACACAGCCGGGCACTGCCGGGGGCAGCATCAGGCCCTCTGGGGCCGTGCAGCCTGCCATGGCCTCACCTGGAGATGACGATCTGCACCATGCTCCGGGTCCTGCAAAGTACCGGCAGAGACACAGTCAGCATGGCAGGAGGACGGGGCAGGCCCTGCTGTGGTGGGAGCCCCCAGCCCCCCCTGGGCCCGAGGTTCTCCCCGGTGCCCCCCATGCCCATTCCCCACTCCCACGCCCTGCTGCTGCCCCCGGGGACCATAGACCCCCCACCCCAGACACCC